TGTGTGTGTGGGGGGGGGGGGGGGGGGGGGGGGGGGGGGGTCCTGGGCAACGTCTGAACTCTGGAGATGGTGGAACGAGCGCGCGGCGTCCATGTCAGGACGACGTTTTCGCCCTTTGTGGACGGGATCATCGGAGCCTAAAACGATTAACCACTCGCAGAATCTCTAGCCAAGGCTCACAGTGCAAAGAATGATGTGAGACGACGGACAGAGCTGTGTGTGAGCGCGATGTGGCCGTGCGGGAACGGGCGCCAGTGAACCCAAAGATCAGGGCCGTGGGCGGGGCACGTACGGCCCCAGGAAGGAGACGCCGAGACGACGCGATGAAGCCGTCGCTTCGCTTGGCATTGGCTGGCAGATCCCGTGTGGATCGATGATGCATAGCACACAGGTGTACAAAACAGAAGTCTTGGCCAGGGAAAGCAAAAACAAAGACACCAGCCGCGGCGGCAAGCGCACCTGTCCAACCGTGTCTCAGCCAAACCCATCCCATCGCCGCCTTATTTTTTATTTTTAACATTTTTTAAACTAATTTTAAATCTAACATCGTTTGTTTTTTTTCCTCAAAACTAACACTTTTTGCCGCGCCTATTGCCATGGCGCGGCGAAACGCCATGGTGGCGTGGCAGGAGGATGACATGGCGACGACCAAGGCTGCTGACCGGTGATGTGACAGGGTCTGCCGCGCCACGGCGCATGGCGTGGCAGGACCAGTAAATATCACGAGCGAGCCCGTCCACCCGCCCGCCCGCCAGCCCGCCCGCCCGCACACCGCGTAGCGCCCGCCGCCCCGACGGCTGCCCGCCCGCGCCTACCGCGCCCGCCCACTCCCGCCGCGCAGTGCCCACACCGGCCACGCCACGAACGCCGACGCGTCACGGCCGCCGGCCCCCTGCTCATATCAAGGTAGATCCCTCTCAATTTCATGTTATTATGATTGTTATTGATTTATGATAGTTAGTGATTTAGGATAGTTAGGGTTTTATAATTGTTATTGATTTTGGATAGTCAGTGATTTAGGATAGTTAGGGTTAGTGATTTAGAATAGCTAGGTTAGTGAATTTATTTATTTAGGTAGGTAGTTTTTAGGTTTGAGGTTGTGTGTTGTAGTATAGTTAAGGTTTGGTTAGGTAGTTAGGGTTTAGGCTACTGGTACTTAGGATTTTGGGTTTATGGATTGATTAGGTATTTATTATTTAGTTTATAGTTAGTTATTTAGTTAGGGATTTTGGGTATAGATACTAGTTTTTAAGTGTCGGTACTTAGTAGTGCGTGATACGTCGATTTGGATGATTTGGTGAAGTTTTGTCAAATGCTTATTTTTCTAGTGAAGTTGTTTAATATGTCTGTAATTGTTACTTTGAATATATACATGTGCTTTCATATTATGTTCGTATTGCATAACAAGTAGTTCAAATTTTGTAATGCTACATAATGTTAATTTGAATATTGTTAATTTGAATACTCTAACCTTATGTTTATCAATTTATAACAAGATGGCCCCTCCCACGCAGCACCCGTTGTATCCCATTCTTGAGGTGGAGTACGACGACCAGCACCGAGCACACATCTTGAGTGACACCGACGTAGAGGTGGCCTTGCCTCCTTTGAGGCCCCGCACGCACACCAGGGCGTACCAGTGGGACGAGCGTTACGCACCGTATATACGGCGTGCCGGTTTCCTCGAGCTTGTCCGTGTTGTCAACTACGGTCTTTCGCCCCTTGACCCAGCACTACTTACTGCAGCTGTAGATAGGTGCAAGTGCCGTCTTTGTACGTAAATATTCTTATAACAAATTTGAGTCAACTAACAGTCGTTCTATTCTTATAATAGGTGGAGGCCAGAGACATATACGTTCCACCTACCTTGCGGCGAGATGACCTTTACCATGCAGGACGTGAAGGCTATCTTTGGCCTTCGGTTGGGAGGACTTCCAGTGACGGGTATAGTTGACAACGATCACTGGAGGGAGCTGGTGGCTCAGTTCACTGGCTTTTTTTCCACCGGATGACGAGGTTTCAAAGAAAAATAAGTGAGCAATTCAAGCCTATTTAATACTTGCATTGCTTCCCTGCAGCCATCGGGTCTCATTTTCTTTGGTGAATTTCAAGTAAAATTCCGGTGTTTCGTCGTCCTGGATCACAGAGCGCTTTGATTACTTGGACCCACAGGCTGAGGAGGCTCAGATCGACATGTTCGCTAGAGTGTGGTTCTGGCACTTTCTTGGTGCTTTTCTCTTTTCAGACGCCTCGGGCAACACCATCAGCTGGATCTTTCTTGACATACTACGCCAGCCGTGGGAGAACATAGCGGCGTACAGCTGGGGCAGCGTAGTCCTAGCATGGACGTATCGACAGCTATGTGTTGCCTGCCGTCGCACCTCAGGGTATGCGAACCTTGGGGCTTGCTCCTACCTACTTCAGGTTTGGTGTTGGGAACGATGGCCCGTTGGGAGGCCCCTTGCTACTGGTTTACCGGTAAGTACTTCGGTTCACTATATTCTTCGAGACAGTTACATATGATGAAATTATTAATGGCTAATTCATTATCGTGTTCAATGCAGCAATGGAACGTGCAGGATACACTCACTACAGCTCTGTATATCTGGACGAAAACAGAGTTAGTTAGAGGGAATGCGAGGCGCAAGTACATGGAGTACACGGACGGTCTCGATGTCCTGACATCACGTTACGCTCTCTTTACTATCATACATGTGTCTTGTTCGATGTACACTATATCACAATCTAACTCAATTATGAAATGTTCAGGTGCATTGGTGTCCTTGGGATGCTCCGGAGGTCGAGTACTATCTGAGTCCTGTCACTAGGGATGAGTCAGACGAGTATCGCTGCAGCGTCCCTCTTATTTTCTTCCAGGTGGTCGAGATTCACTTGCCCATCAGGGTCTGCAGATAGTTTGGAAGAATGACAGGCTGCCCACCACCGCTTTACTCCACCAACCAAGAATTGCACGGGTGTGTTATCGATTAATAACAAAGCTACAATTCAGAGGTGTGTGTGGTACAACTAACATCATTTTGTTGCAGGTATGACCGCAGGAAGAGGTACAAGACCAAGGATTGGCGCGTGACACACAATGCGTACATCCAGTTGTGGTAGACCAGGGAACGACAGCCGGTCCATGCGGGTCCCCCACACGACCAGCACACATTCGACGAGTACCTGCGATGGCTTCACAGGTCTACGAGAACACATATCAAACCCCCGTATACTGAGGAGGCGATTGACGAGGACTCAGAAGAAGATGTGATCGAAGATGTGTACGACGTTGCCACTAGGGCCGACACATAGCTACATAGAGCCCCGCTTCAAAGATACGTGGTAAGATACTCTAATGGTACAATTTGTTATCCATTTGGTATTAAGTATGTGTACTAAAACTGTCCAACCGCGTTTCTGTACCAAGGTGACACAATTGTCAAGGATGTCCAACGAAGCAGCGTTTCGGCTTTACGAGTCTAGAGGGCAGGGGCCAGGCGTTCTCGAGGCTTTTGTGGAGGTAAACATAAACTTGTCCGTTCCGAAAATGTTTCTTTAGTGTATATGCGTTTGGAAAATGCACTAACTTTAACGTATATTTATGCAGAAGGTGAAGCGGAGCTGCAGGAAGCTAGCTCAAAAGCTGAGTTGCATGGACACTCCATTGGTGGAACCGGTAGTCCCGACGCGGTCGGGTGGCACCTCTTCTGGCTCTTTGAGGACACCAGCCGGCTCTTCTCAGCCGGTGACAGGTGCCACTTCCGCAGTACGTACACCACCACATCATAGCGCTGGGAAGGACCTGCAAGCGAGGATGACGAGGACGACGACGACCCCCCGGGCTTCCGCAGACAGCACCACCAGTGGAGCCCTTGGCCGCAGGACGATATCGGCATGTCTCAGCTAGGTGGTGCCCCGGTTGGTACCTAAAGAGCCTCACAGGTAGTAACAAAGGTAGCTTCTTTAAATACGTAGGCTCCAAGAACTAACGATCATAAATATTATAAGGAATCGTGCATATCATATACTTACAGGGTACGCTCCGTACGCATCGGCAACGCGACCACACCAATGTTGGCTACACTCCTAATGTGTTGTCAACAAATCTGAAGAGACGGAGGCGTCCGATGGATCTTTACACTCCTGGGTCTTAGTTTGTTAGGTCGAACGAATATTGTCGTCCGAAACTTACAAGCTTAGTTGGTTATGTTATGTCGAACTTATATCGAACCAATAAAAATATTATATGGCAGCTTGTCAACTTGCGTACGAACTTTATTTATTTGCTTCATATTCGTTTCAATGTGTCGCGGCAGCACTGCCGGCAAGATTAACTAGCAACTAGTTCGGGAACCGTTAGTCCCGGTGTATCTCGCCGTCGGTGGCCGGCGTCTTGACCCCGATCCTCCCGAGCTTGGTCATCACCGTCACGAAATCACCGAAGAAGCCACCTTGGTTAGACGCGCAGTAGTCGACCGTGCTGCGCGACCTCATGTCGGACTAGAGCACCTGATCGGAGCCCACCGAAGAGGGGTCGAGGAAGCCGGGGTCCATGGTCGCGTCGCTACCGATCCTCACCGACAGCAGCCGATCTTCTATCTGCGTCCAGGTCCTGCCGCGACATGCGCCGTGACGCGTCAGTGCCGTGCCAAGATCGGTGGTGCGGCAGACCCTGCCACGTCACTGGTCAGCAGCCCCGGTCGTCGCCACGTCATCCTCCTGCTGTGCCACCATGCATGGCGCGGCACAGGCGTTTCGCCGCTCCATGGCAATAGACGCGGCCAAAAGTGTTAGTTTAAAAAAAAACAAACAATATTAGATTTAAAATTAGTTTAAAAAATATTAAAAATAAAAATAAAAATCTCGCCGCCCGCCTGCCTTCTCCTCGCAAAACGCCGCCGCCGCGGCAGCCTGCCGGTCTTTGACTAAGGAGAGGAGAGATGAGGCGCGTCGCTCGGTGGCCAGCGAAGTGAGTTTCCGAGGGGAGACTAAAGAGATCGATGCGGGCCTCGGCGTCGGCGGCGGCACTGCTGCTCCTGCCGTGGATGCTGCTGCTGCATGCGGAAGCCGCGGGCAACGGGAGCTGCGCGCGGACCTGCGGGGCCTTGACGGTGCAGTACCCGTTCGGCTTCTCCCCCGGCTGCGAGATACCGCTCGGGTGCGAGGACCAGGCGAACGGCACCGCGTGGCTCGGGGAGACGCGCGAGCTGGGCCTGCTGGCGCACAACGTCACGGCGCGCGCCGTCGTCCTCGCCGTGCCCCCGGACGGCGACAGGTACCTCGACAGGTCGTCCCGGTGCAACACCACCACCGAGCCCATCCGCTGCGTCGACCACCAGTCGTACCTTGACAGCATTCTTAGGAAATGTGGACTATCAAATAAGATGCCATACATAAAGGAGTATGGTAGCAAGGCTGATGCAAAGCCTCTGGCAGATATTATCGAGATGTCGCCACAAATGCTTCTGGAATGCTTGAAGGCATTCTATGGCATTGTGACTGGAACAGAAGGTTCCTTGCCTGAATTTGAGCAACTGCATGTTCCAAGGTTACGTTCAGATGCCTGCTATGGTTTGGCAAGAGCTCTAGCAGAATCTTATGAGCTCATTTACAGTGCAGTGATGGATCCAAATAACAGTTATCCTGACCAAAGGTCGTTGGTTAAGCACTCTCCTGAACAGATAAGAACTATACTGGAAATCTGAGGTCTTTGCACCATGCCTTTTGATACTATGTTAAGTAGAGGTGTTTCATGCACGAAACATTTGCGATGTAAATTTCCGACTACAAGCTGTGGGTTCAATTGATTACAGAAATATTGAAGTGGTGACTCTTTTTCTGAACTCATGTATCATTATCTAGTGTCTCACTGTCTCCTCTATTCCTTTTTACTTTATATATCAAAGTTATTTTTTACTTCAGTGCTGTAATTTTGAGGTACAGCTTGACCGATTAATATGATACCAGTTGTATACCAAAGCTACTATCCAAGCATGTTAAATAGCTTTGATATAAAATGCCATTTTTTCAGTTCAGTAAAACATCAAAGCTCAATATCATAATTCTCGATTATTTTCAGTACCGCGCACCTGCAGCAGATTCTGCTTCAGCTGTCCTTATATTGTTTCTGTGTTTGCTTATTATATTGTGCTTTGATTCTGCTGATTAACCAGCTGCAATGGTTGACTCCACCTGAGGAGTGCACGCTGAAGTTTGGCAGGTGTGGAAACTGGAAACAGTTGTTGGCAGTCAAGAATTCAAGATCCAAGGTTGTCTAGGTTGAAGAAGAAAAAAATCTGTCAGACATGTTACCTGGGTTTGAAATAATCTGTCTAGGCTGAAGTGTCGTTTGGTCAGTATCCTTAATTTCCGCAGTGCATATGGGCAAGCTATGTCTCTTCCTTTGAACCTTTTGCACAGAGGCTATAGCTCCGGCCATTTTAAGGTAAATCGTCTGCTGGAACCCTAAATCCTTTATCTATATCTAATATTAAAACACAGAAATTTCTTTGATCCGTCATCCTCACTTTCTAAATCACACTCCCATCTTTTCTACACTCCAAAACAACCCTTCTCGCTCCCCATAATACTAGTCACAACGTAGGAATATGTCGATGCTGAAAGAAGAAAGAGAGAGTACTTAAGCATCGAATCATCAAAGTTACAGCGACCGATGCTAACTCCAAAATTCTACCAAGCGAGACAAGAAGATGACTCGATGTTAGCCAAATAAAAAATGATTTCTCAGCTGGCTAATAGACACTTAATCGAGTGCAAGAAACATTGGTCGTTCTGTGAAAGGTTTGGCCCACATGCTTATGCACCTCGATGTCCTCGATGCTGAACATTGTGCGGCAAGAAGAGCTTTGAGCATCGGTGCTGATGGCATGCGCATTAGTTTTTCTGGCATCGATTACATTGTGGTAGGCTACATCACTCTCTAAATTCAATACACGATAGTTCTATTATGAATCTTTTCACATAAGAAGAAAATTATGATAAGTCATTAGAACATATATTTAGACGCATAATGAAAGCTAGTATGTGTTTAGAAAAGACTGAATGACTGATAATCTATAATGGAGGGAGTATTAACTTATTTTAGCTGATCAAACGTGAACTACGTTAGCACACTGCTCACGGTCTGCTTACTTACCTCGTAATCTAAGCAGCCGCATGGACTTTTGAACCGGCCTGCGCACGCTACTAGTTTCCTTTTTCCTACAATAAAAGATTGCCCAATTGCTGCCGGTTTTTCTCGTCCATTTGGTCTGATCGTGGGCTGTCTGCCCGTGCCCTGGCTGTGGATCAGGTCGGCCACTCGGGCTCCCTTCCGTGCGTTGGCGGGCGGAATGACAAGTGTGGGATGGTGGAACGGAACTGGAACGGGCGGCGTCGAGGTCGCCGGTCCACGCAGGCGGGGATGATGTGTGACGGCCTAAGCCGTGACCGCGACGGGAGAGCGATCTTTACGGGACGGGGCCGTGTGGGAACGGGCGCCCGGCACATCACGACAGCTCCCCGCGTTCCTCTGAAGTGACACGATACACGACCCCATCAAGGAGACGCCAAGAAGACGAAGCGATCGCTTGGCGGATCCCCCCATGGTCGATGTAGGAATGCAGCAGACGTGTACGTGCGGCGGGGGCCAGCGATGAGCTGCGTGTACAGACGTACAGTACATTATGGGGCATGAGATTGAAAGGAGCAGTAGGACTCTAGGAGTAGGTTAGTCGTTGGTCCGAATGGCCCCGGCTTTAATGCTGAATTCTGCGCCACGTGGAACGCAAAAACTGTTCATTTAGTATGGTTTGGTGGATAAGTCACGACTAAAAGTAATATTGATTAATTTGGTGTGAGAGAAAAATATTATTTGTTAACCGAAAAGTACGATTTATAAATAAGACGAGGCCAAATGAACAGGGCGAAACAGCCAAACCAAACCCATCGCCGCCCGCCCGCCCGCCTTCTCCTCGCTACGCCAACACCGCCGCGGCGGCAGCCTGCCGGTCTTTGACTAAGGAGAGATGAGGCGCGTCGCTCGGTGGTCAGCGTAGTGAGTTTCCGAGGGGAGACTAGAGAGATCGATGCGGGGCTTGGCGGCGGCACTGCTGCTCCTGCCGTGGATGCTGCTGCTGCTGCATGCGGCAGCCGTGGGCAACGGGAGCTGCGCGCGGAGCTGCGGGGCCTTGACGGTGCAGTACCCGTTCGGCTTCTCCCCCGGCTGCGAGATACCGCTCGGCTGCGACCAGGCGAACGGCACGGCGTGGCTCGGGGGCGCGCGCGAGCTGGGCCTGCTCGTGTCCAACGTCACGGCGCGCGCGCTCTTCCTCGCCCTGCGCCCAAACTGCTCCCGGAGGCTCAACGCCTCCCTCGAGGCGCTCTTCACGAAGACGTACGCGCCCGGCAGGCAGAACGCGCTCGTTGTGAGCTCGTGCAGGCCCGCCTCCCTGGCCGCCGACATCAGCAACTGCAGCGTCCACCCTAGCGCTTACTTCGACAACTCGTCCCAGTGCGGCCGCGGCGCCGCGGACTCCATCCACTGCGTCGTGCCGACACAGCCAACCAGCGACGACAACATCCGCGTCCCCGACCGTTTCTTAAACAGAACCGAGATGCAAACGCTCGCCGCAGAATGCACCGGGCTGGTGTCGGCGGTGAGCTACGACTGGGACGCGCCGGCGCCGGCGCTGCTGCTATCCACGATGGAGCTGGAGTGGTGGATGCTCGGGCCGTGCCGATGCTCGCGCCAAGCTAACTGCACCCGGGTCACCACGCCGGACGCAAGGCAGGAGGCGTTCCGGTGCGAGTGCCGAGTGGGCTTCGAGGGCGACGGCTTCGCCGAGGGCGCCGGTTGCCGGAAAGGTCAGTGCACCGCGCCCGCACGCGCGCAGCTAGACGTCATTTAATTACTATATTTATTTTATTTCCCTCGTCTCCGAGCGTCGTTGGTTGAATTGGTGAGTCAAATTGTGCGAGCTAGCCAATTTGTTAGAACGGTTGACTCCGCTCATGCATCCAGCTCGCACCACCAGAATGGCTTGGACCATGGGCTCCGCTATCAAATGGCCGTAATCATATCGACGTCTGAGCAAACCGCGACGGGAGAGCGATCTTTACGGGACGGGACAGTGTGGGAACGGGCGCCCGGCACATCACGACAGCTCCCCGCGTTCCTCTGAAGTGACACGATACACGACACCAGCAAGGAGACGCCAAGAAGACGAAGCCATCGCTTGGCGGATCCCCATGGTCGATGTAGGAATGCAGCAGACGTGTACGTGCGGCGGGGGCCAGCATTGAGATCGATGCAGGGCTCGGCGGCGGCACGGCTGCTCCTGCCGTGGCTGCTGCAGCCGCTGCATGCGGCAGACGCGGGCAACGGCAGCTGCGCGCGGAGCTGCGGGGGCTTGACGGTGCAGTACCCGTTCGGCTTCTCCCCCGGCTGCGAGATACCGCTCGGGTGCGACGACCAGGCGAACGGCACCGCGTGGGTCGGCGGCGCGCGCGAGCTCGGCCTGCTGGTGCACAACGTCACGGCGCGCGCCGTCGTCCTCTCCCTGCCCCAGGACTGCTCCCGCAGACTCAACGCCTCAATCCAGGCGCTCTTCTCGAAGAGCTACGCGCCTGGCTCGCAGAACGCGCTCGTCGTGAGCGCGTGCAGCCCCGCCTCGCCGTCGCATACCAGCAACTGCAGCGACGGCGACAGTTACCTCGACAGGTCGTCCCAGTGCAACACCACCGAGCCCATCCGCTGCGTCCGCCTGCCACCAGTAGTCCCACCACCGATCAGCAGCGGTAGCGACCAACGTTTCTTCAACAGAACCGAGATGCAAACGCTCGCCGCAGAATGCACCGGGCTCGTGTCGGCGGCGAGCTACTGGGACGCGCCGGCGCTGCTGCTGGGCGTGATGGAACTGGAGTGGTGGGTGGTGGGCGAGACGTGCCGCTGCTCGCGCCACGCCACCTGCACCTCGGTCACCACGCCGATACCTGGGCAACAGTCGTTCCGGTGCGAGTGCCCCGAGGGGTTCCACGGCGATGGCTTCGCCGACGGCGACGGTTGCTGGAAAGGTCAGTGTGCCGCGCCCGCGCGCAGTCAAGTCTTATCGGTCCAACCTGTTACTACTCGGGTGTGCAAGGCTAATAACCGTTTGATTCAACAAAATAATTTAAGGTTTAAGAGCGACTCATTCGCAAAGTTAGCTTGTTATCTAGAGTTCACATTGACCGGATTATTCTACTACTTTGCTTGTCGATCGTCGGAAACCCTTCTCGGACCAGGAATGGAATCTTACCAGTAGGGCCCCCGGCCCCTCCTGTTCTTAAAAAAAACCTATAATTATAGGGTCGGTCCGTAAATTGTTAGAGAAACTCTAGCAATAGCCTCTAGATCATGGCCCCTACTTTTTATTTGATGGTTTTTCTATTTTTAAGATTCCTATTATTTGAAACAATAATGTTACAAGTTTATATAAATGACAGATATTCTATGAACTAAAAACGTCAGTTCAAATTTAAAAAGATAAATAAAGTTGCAAGATGTCACCAGAACCATAGTTTAACAAACAAAATTCATCGTATCAATCAAACTACGTGAAGTTATCAATGGACCAAAGGTGCTCGACGAGAATCCTTTCGTAATCTCTCATGTGCTTGCTTGTCTTCGATCAATCTCCTCATGGATCTTGAGGAACTCCAACAACACAAGTGGATTACGTTGTCGGTACTCCTCCTCACCGCATAACACCATCTTGGTCATAGTCTTAGGCCTCATGGTCATCCTCACCCCGCTTATCCTTAAAGATCATGGTGTGCATGATCATCGTAGCTGTCATTAAGTGCCAAAGAGTGTCCTTATTCCATAATCGAGCAGGACCCCTCAACACCATAGCAAATTGAGCTTCCAGAATTCCAAATGCTCTCTCTACACATCTTTCATCATAGCTTCTTGAGCTGTTGTGAAATGAATTTTCTTGTTCCCTTGTGGATTTTGATAGCTCTTCACAAATGTTGCCTAAAAAGGTATATCCCACCTGCCAAATTACGGCACATATTTGGAACTTTAAACGACTTCAAACAAAAAAACTTTTCAACTTTCAACTACATAGTTGTTGATTGCGTTGAGGACTACAATTTGATATAAAGTTTGTCTTCATCCGAGTTCATATGGAAAATTTATGAATTATTTTTTGTTTAAATAAAAACTTTTCAACTACAAAGTTGTAGATCGCGTCAAGAGCTATAATTTTGGTATAAAGTTTGTCTTCATCCAAGTTCATATGAAACGTTATGAATTATTTTTGGTTGCGACTATTTATAGCGACGGACTCCTTAACATGCCCGACTCTGAAAATAAACTTTTAGAGACTGATGCTTGGAATTATCGCCCCTGTTAATAGATAGCGCGGAGACGGGTGTCCTAAGATGACCACCTATGTTAATCGATAGTTTTTTTGGTGCGGTCACCTTAGGATGCCTGGCGAGCATTTTCCTTTATCCCCTGACCATTTACGGAGGCGGTCGCTAGGTGTGCTCGCCTTCGATAATCAGAGAGCCAGAGAGGTTTGTCTTCTAAAAATCATTTTTTTAAGTAGTAAATGCAAGAAAAACGACGAAACTTAAACTAAGGTTTTAACTGAATATTTATATGACATGGTTTTCTAGGATGTACGGTAAGGCGACGAGCTTGATGACTATAAATAATTGAAACAGATGTCAATAAATCTGTGTTATTCCCAAATCCCAACGTCAGCCATAAAACCTTGTTTAAAGTTTGTGCGATATTTATCTGAAAAAGTGAAAATGATTGTTCACAGACGGTACTTCATGGAAAATGTCCAAAAGCATCGGACTTGAAGCTGGACTTTCAGCCGCTGGCATGTTCATGGTGGTTTGCGTAGCAGTATTATTGCTTTATTATCTTAAGAAATGGAGGACAAGATATTCTAAAAAATCACAAGAGCCAAAACATATTCACAGCAACGAATGGATGGATGGAGAGTTTGAGATAGGGAACGGACCTAGGAGATTCAGCTACAGTGAGTTGTCGCAGGCGACAAGGGGATTTTCTGAAGACCTGAAGCTTGGAGAAGGCGGTTTTGGCTCAGTCTACCGAGGATTCTTTCATGACCAACGTCTTCATGTGGCCATCAAAAGGGTATCCAAAACTTCAAGGCAGGGGAGACGAGAGTTCATCTCCGAAGTAACCATCATAAGCCGGATCAGTCACCGCAACCTTGTTCATCTTGTTGGGTGGTGTCACGATGCCGATGAACTCTTGCTTGTCTATGAGCTCATGGAGAACGGTAGCCTTGACACTCATCTTTACAATTCAAGCAACGTTCTACCATGGCCCAGCAGGTATGATGAGATTTATGATGATCTGATCATTCATCCTTGCACTGTAAATCAAACTGATCATGATGTTCATGTCACACTGCAAATAAAATCAGGTACAATGCCGTTCTCTCCGTAGGCTATGCTCTCCTCTATCTGCATGAAGAATGTGAGAAATGCGTGTTGCACAGGGACATCAAGCCGAGCAACGTGATGCTTGACGTGTCGTTCAACGCGAAGCTGGGAGATTTTGGGCTGGCACGCCTCGTCGACCATAGCCGGCGGGAACGCACGACACTGCTGGCCGGGACCATCGGTTACATGGACCCGGAGTGCGCGGTGACCAGCAGGGCAAGTGTTGAATCCGACATGTACGCCTTCGGCGTCGTCCTCCTCGAGATCGCCTGCGGCCGGCAGCCTATCGTTCAGGACGAAGACGAGAAGAAGGTCCGGCTTGTTGATTGGGTCTGGCACATGTATGGCGGCGGCAAACTCCTCTACGCCGCGGATGCGCGGCTCAACGAGTTCGACGTGCCACAGATGGAGCGCGTCATGCTTGTCGGCCTCTGGTGCGTGCACCCGGATCATGGCTTCCGACCGTCGATCAGGCAAGCCATGAGCGTGCTCCAGTTCGTAGTCCCTCGGAAAATGATGGTGCCACTGTACTACATTCAGCAGCTAAATGGTGGTGGATATAGATGGCATTACGAGTCGTCGTCGGCCGGGAGCTCCGGCGACGGCGAGGGAGGGCAGCCATCGATGCCTGGCTCATTAATGGGAAAGAGCCACAGCCACGGGATACGTTCTTTCAGCACAGCCGGTCGAAATGAAAAGATGCTGCAATAGTACGTATTGACGTTTTGGTCGGATCCACCATTTTGAGTCTCCTAAAGGTTCTATAGATCTGTCTATTTGTTTGTTGTAGGGACTAGTGTGTGTGGCTAGATTCTTTTGATACTTGGATGCCTACATTGTAATGCAATTCTTGCACTTTTATGATTAGAAGTGTACTATGATATACTCCGTCCATTTCAAATTATATGTCATCCTACTTTTGCTCTAAATTAAACTTCTATAACTCCGACCAAGTTATATAATGCACCAACATCTACAGGATCAAATTAGTTTCATTGAATTCACTGTAAAATATATCATGATACTGCACTTATTTGAACTTGTAGATGCCAATATGTTTTTCTAAAAACTTAGTCGTAATTAGACAAAGGTTAACTTAGGACAAAATTAAAGTGGCCTATAATCAAGAACGAGGAAGTATTTTTTCAAGGTCTTCTGAAATGCTTTAGCCCGCAATTGTATGTTATATAATTGTTGTGATGAATCTAGTTGGGTAAAAAGTAAAACATATACGCACAGGAGATAGCATGCAAGTGAAAGTGCATCTAGTCTAGTAAGATGATAAAGTGACTAAACGAGTAACTTGTTTGGCAATATTGAGCAAGAACTTTTAGGTCCGCAATACATTAGTGGTAAATGATACTCCGTCCATTCCAAATTATAAATTATTCAAACTTTCTTTAGAAGTCAAAACATCTCAAGTTTGACCAAAATTATAGAGAGAATTACAGAGATTTATGACATCAAATATGTTACTATAAAAATATAATTAATGAAGAATCTAACGATACTTATTTCGTATCATAAATGTTATTATTTATTATATAAATTTGGTTAACCTTAAAATGCTTTAACACTCCAAGAAACTTAGAATAACTTATAATTTGGGGATGGAGGAATAGTTGATAGTGAAGAATGATTAAAACCTCAAATATAATGAAAACAAGCTGGGCTAGCCATGTCGATCGTACGTAGTGATCGGGATTGATTCCCCGGGAATCCGATTATTGTATCACTAGCTAATGAGTTATGCAAATTTTCACGGTCAGCATATATTGTACGTTGAAAACGCTAGATTTCTGAGAATTCTCACCGGAATATTGAACTATGCATGTCTTTTTTAGTAGCTATACTAGAATCATGCCCGTGCGTTGCACAGCAGCACAAATTTTTCCTACACTTACAACGACGGATTTGATCATTTTCAGAAATTAATAAAAGTTAATAAGCGATTTTGCATTGGAAACCCAAAACTATTTTCAAATCGCAGATGGGATCCATCCTCCGTCACGAATGAGGGAGGTCCAGAGAATTGGGGATGCTAAGCTGCGGCGGTGTCGATCCAACTTAGCCTCCTTGGCTAGGGTTTAGTGGAATGTGCGGACGATGGTGACCACAAATTGTTGGGTGCATGATAACTTTTTTGTACATGAATTGCTAGAGGACATGATCGAGCGGGAGTCTTGATTCTGTGTGTGGACGATCCGGAGCGAGCGGGGTGATGGCATCGGCGCGAGTGGGTCGAGCGGGGAGGGGCGACAACGGCGATTATGCTATGTTTTTTTAGTTGTAGATATATATTTCCTTGCGTTGCACCGGAGCCATAAATTTTTGTCACGCCTACGGCCAATAACACAATTAACACTTAATAGGGTTTTTGTTCAAAAATCGCTAATGGGGTGATCAAGTCAAACACTTCGACGTCAAGTTTTTGTTTAAATCCTAAATTCACCTAGGTTTTAGTTTAGGAAGAGAAGTTTTCGGATATCCTATTCTAAACTTCGGATAATCTATATCCACTTAATTTTGCCGGTTATATATTTTATCCCGCCTCCGCACACAACCGGATTCGGATTATTCGTATCCGTATGCATATTAAAAGTGTTCTCCATGTCTACAAAATTCGGATTAAAATTAGTTTTAGTTTAGGAAGAGAAGTTTTCGGATATCCTATTTTAAACTTCGGATAATCTACATCCACTTAATTTTGCTGGTCCTATATTTTATCCCGCCTCCGCACACACCGGATTCGGCTTATTCGTATCCGTATGCATATTTAAAGTGTTCTCCATGTGTACAAAATTCGGATTAAAATTATCACATACAGTCT